TTTTGTGATTGATGGTGTTTGTATACCACACTTGCAAAACATTATAAATGTATATAATTATGCAAATAAAACAATTTTCAAACACCGAAGAATATGTAAAATGTGTACTGCAAATATTTATGCACATTATATTTAATCAATAAATTATATGCCTTCATTTCTTAATGGAAAATTTGGCTAAGAATTTATAGAAAATAAATTTCTAATTACCTCCCTTTATTTACATGAAATTTTAAATTCGGTAATATCTTTATGATAAATGCTTATTGGAACTTAGAATATTAACAAATCTTAATTTCAGCATCATATCTTTGAAATAAAACCATGAAAAAATGTGTTACAGGATCTTTAAATTTTGTTTAGATTTTTGTACTTAAGCATAATTTCAGCTGATGATGTCAAAGCTTAGTTTAAACATATTTGTTCTAATCATACACAGTACATAATATACATTCATTCAATATAAACAATGTTAAAATAGCTTAGAACGAAAGATAATGACTTTTATATAGTTCTTCTCCGACTCTATTTTGAATTAACAGAAAAGTGATGGCGCCAATCTACTGAGACAATGTCAAAGCTTGAGAAGTAAGAAAGAATATGAGTGACTTATTCACTTCAAATATTCAATGCGTGCAAATAAAAGAAATTGCTGTAAAAAAAAACATATTAAAACATCCGTTATGAAGCAAGACGCAAATCAATAAAGCAACAATTTAGGCGGTTAATGGCGAGATACAGTAGCAGTCAATATACAATTTATGATAAAGAAATATTTCTTTGAGAGCAGTTTTACAGATAACTAAACAAATAGAACTGATTCTTCTTGGACGATTTGTTAATCAGAAAGAATGCTTTTTATATATTTTATGCAAGTTGATGCTAGGTAAATATCACATATCATTGAGGGAGAGATAGAGTGAAAAGTTTACCCTAAACAAAACAATGATGTCGAGAGGTTGCCATTGTTTTGTCAAGAGTGAATATTATGTTCTGTCATCCACAGTGGAATGTGCATTTTATTTTATCATACCGAACAATTTAATATTCGAGAAAGTTATCATATAACTAAAACATGGAATTCTGCCTGCACGTGAGGGCTGTTTGAAAATGACATTGTGCCGAAAAAATTATATTGCCATGCAACTTTATGGATTGTTACAGTCTGACGTCACAAGGTCATATCGTAGATATATCACATGTGGTCTTGTCGCTATCAGTTACTCTTGTCAATATAAATGAGACAAAGTATCTTTTGTAACAATATCTTACTTAAGATGCAGTTCGGTTAAAACATTTTAGGGTTTATTGTTAAAAGTATATCTTGCAAATACTATATGTATAGTCGGCAAAACATAAAGGCTTGCCTTAATTAAGTGTAATATTGTCAATGTTAAAATATTTTCTTAGTCCAAAAATTCTTTATAAAACATAATGGTCTGGCAAAATTCAAGAAGTAAATAAAATTCATTATGAAGTCCATAAAAGCAACGTTCATATGTAGTGTTACTGGAAGTTAAATATCAATATGTAGAATATTTAGTGTTAATTTATGGAATATTTATTTTGAACATTAAATGTATATCCAAAGTACAAAAACCTTACATTTATAGAAGTGAGAATAACTTCCAACGTCAAATGTTTCTTTCAATATAAAGTTAAATGTGTCAAAAACCCATTAGAAATTGTTTACTTTTATTCAAAGCTAGGTCTAATTTTTCAGAAGATATCTTGAAATATTGTGAAAAGTAAAGAAATGTCATTTATGTTTGTCATCAATAGACATTGACCTAATTGCTTAAACGGTTTCAAGAAACATTTCTTTTTCGCTAGTGACTTTTTTGTAATTCTTAAGTACAAATAGCTTGAGGTGCTGCTTTTAAATGTTTTCAATTTAATTCATTCTGATCTCAACAGCGGCGGGTATAACCATAGAATTTATCTCTAATGTTATGATTTGATGTGCATATAAGAGAACATAATTTTACTCTAGCATAACTATAAATTAACTTTTAACTATTCAAATAACTTTTTAATATTTTTTTTGTTCTGGTTGGGTTTTAAGTCGCAACAACACAGTATATTCATATGGCGCTATCCAGCTTTTCCTGATGGAAGAAGACCTCAGGTTCACATCTGTAGATTATTTCAGACACAAACAGGTATCTGAGTAGAACCAACGACGTTCCGAGACCTAGCAGGACAACTTTTTCACATTTAAAATCCGACGACACTTTAGTGACTCGAACCTTAAGCAAGTGAGAGGCAAGTGGTGTGAAACTTGACCACTCGGCCACGGACGCCCCAAATTAAGATTTGCTGCCACGATTAATATGATATCATTTTAACTGAAGATTTCTTATTGTTTGAGAACTTAAAGAAATGTAGATGGCTAACTATATAAAACTAAAAAAAAGAATTTCTTGTAAAATTGTTTAGTGTTTTACTAAAAAGGGTTACTTGCAAAACTTACATGCTGTGTTGGTATAACATAAATGCTTGTCTTAAACTGTCAATGTTTTTAATATTTTTTAATATTTTCTTCGTCCAAAAATACTTTTGATAACCATGTTTTTCTCTTCAACAGTTTTATTTAATCTTTCAATTTCTTTTTTAAATATAACACATGACGAACTGGTGAAATTGAGAACTTAATGAAAACAAATGTTTCTTTCAATATCAATTTAAATATGTGAAAAACACATTAAAGATTGTTTACATTATGTAACTTGAAATATTATGAAAAGTAAAATACTGTCATTTATGTTGATCAGCAATAGACATTTACCGAATAGCTTTGTGTCTTAAATGGTTTCTGACTGTCAAGAAAGTTATCAAACATTTCTTTTTTGCTGCTGACTTTTTGCAATGCTTGAGAATAAATAGCTTGAGGGGCTGCTTTTAAGTGTTTTCAATTTAATTCATTCTGATCTGAACAGTGGCGGGTATAACCATAGAATTGATCTTTTATGTTATGATTTGATATGCATATAGGAGAACATAATTTTACTCTTGCATACCTACAAATTAACTTTTGTCTATTCCTTTTTTGGTTGTGTTTAACGTCGCAACAACACAGTATATGTCATATGGCGCTGTCCAGCTTTTCCTGATGGAAGAAGACCTCAGGTGTACATCTGTATATTATTTCAGACACAAACAGGTATCTGAGTAGAACCAACGACGTTCCGAGACCTAGCAGGATACCTTTTTCACATGTAAAATCCGAAGACACTTTAGTGACTCGAACCTTAAGCAAGTGAGAGGCGAGTGGTTTGAAGTAAAACTTGACCACTCGGCCACGGACGCCCCGAATTTAGATTTGCTGCCACGATTAAAATGATATCATTTTAACTGAAGATTTCTTATTGTTTGAGAACTAAAAGAAATGGAGATTGCTAACTATATAAAACTAAAAAAATGAAATCCTTGTAAAATTGTTTAGTGTTTTACTAAAAAAAGTAACTTGCAAAACTTACATGCTATGTTGGTATAATATAAATGCTTGTCTTTAACTGTCAATGTTCTTAATATTTTTTAATATTTTCTTAGTCCAAAAATACTTTTGATAACCATGTTTTTTTTCTTCAACAGTTTTATTTAATCTTTCAATTTCTTTTTTAAAACATAAAACATTACAAAAAGCAAATATCTTAGGGAGGCTTTAGAATTCTTGAAATGAAAATTACATCTAACGTCACATGTTTCTTTCAACATCAATTTAAATGTGTCAAAAGCACATTAGAAATTGTTTACATTATGTGGTAGATTTCTTTCAAAGCTAGGTGTAATCTTTCAAGGAGTAACTTGAAATATTATGAAAAGTAAAATACTGTCATTTATGTTGATCAGCAATAGACATTTACCTAATAGCTTTATGTCTTTAATGATTGATGACTGTCAAGAAATTTATCAAACATTTGTTTTTTGCTGTTCACTTTTTGTAATGCTTGAGAACAAATAGCTTGAGGGGCTGCTTTTAAGTGTTTTCAATTTAATTAATTTTGATTTGAACAGCGGCATGTAGTACCATAGAAATGATCTTATTATGTAATGAGTTGATGTGCATATAGAAGAACGTACCTTTGAGTAGTGTATAACTATGTGCTCACTTTTGTTTATTCCAATAACAAAACACACCCGAATTTATTATGTGATTTCAACTGAAGGTGATCTTAAGAAAATGGAGATGGCTAGCTTTATAGAAACTAAAAATAGAGTTTCAAAGTTTCATATGAAATGAAAATGTTAATTAAGTTATAACAATGAATTGACATAATCTACATTACGAAATTACATAACATGTAAATTAGCAATACTATGAATAACACATTTATAAGTCAAGTCGCAAAAAAATCACTAAAAATTGAAAATATTGAAGAGGCTCATTTGTGGAAGATATTTATTAATTTACAAGCGTTTGTTTTCTGTTTTATGTATAAGCCAGCGTCATAAATCTCTATGAATTTGAAAGGAGGTGTAGACAAACAAATCATACATTGATATACGAAAAGAAGTCAGCTATTGTAACAGATAAATGTGTTACGTCATGTGTAATCAGGACAATTAATGTGTTAACAAGTTAATGATTAAGATTTTTTATATTCCTGATCACATGATTTATAAATAATTATTACGTTAACTTACTGTAAAATAATTTATTGCTCCCATTAACCCTGGCATATATTTCATTTTATACGATCATCATAAGCATTCGTTTGTGATTTAGTTCTGAAATATGTAAATATTCCGTTCAGAGCTATTAATTCATTGTACCACAACTCATTTATTATATATCAAGTACCATGGTGAAAGATTACTCTTCGACAAAACAGTACCCGAGAGGTATACGAGACATTTTTTTGATGTGCTCAGACACAGATGGAATCATTTTGAGTGTAAGTTTTGTCCTTAATATATAATCAGACAAGCCACACAAACACGAACATTTAGTAATTATATTTAATTGCAAACGTTTCGGCTATATGCCTTCATCAGTGCAAAGGTAGCACTCCACAGTTAATTTCAAGTTCCTGCCGTCAATGTCCTACAAGCAATACGTCTAATAATTCTGATACCAAACTACACAACCTGGAAAAAGAAAACACATTTTGTTGAGAGCATATATGACATAAGATTGCAAATCTACAAAGAAATTATCCCATCTGCAATAGGCAGGCAGTCAAAAAATTTGCAATTCATTCCGTTGAAGCCCAAAATCTACAGTGGCCCGAGACCCAAAACAACACATTTCGACCCTCTGGCAAAAAATATCTGCAAATATACAGGCTAAAGGAACACCGTCTCTGCTTTAGCAACTCCCTATACATGCAAAATATCACAAAGAAACTAGTCCTCAACCTTGTAGATTTTTTGCTACTGCTAAAAGTTTGTACCCCCCTGTAAAATGACTTCTTTTTACCGTGCATGCTGTATAAAAGCAATGTTTACAAAAAATGGCGGCCTTGACATTCATAATCAACAGCATGTGATTTCTGGCCATGTTTTCGAATTTGCCAGTGATCATATTAGATGTCACAAAAACAAATTTTATGCTGAAAATGCATTTTTAAAGACAACCAGTCATTTAAATCCAGAATATTCACTATATCCAAGAAATCCTCCCTGGCCATTCGAAGCTGTGGCTTACATTACTGTGGTGTGCTACCTTAAGGGGCATCATAACATTGATTGATGACCTTTATATGGACTTTTTCTACAAATTCATGCATATTTCAATAAACAAAAAGAAAATTTTTGCTGGGAATTGTTTGTTTTTTCATTATCTATGCCTTAAATGAACTATGCTGTTCATCCCATTTTCAGCACTCGGCAAGCCTTTTTCAGTACATGTAGAATAAGAAAGTATTCCCAATGTAAAGTGTACACAATCTGGTTCTTATACCATCTATACAATCAAAATGTTCAAATATGTCCTTATAACATCTAATATGAAAGAAATATTCAACAAATTGGCATACAGTTTAAGAATATATGGCTTCATGCTTCATATAAGGCAAAAAATACAACAGATTATGTTCTTGCCAGGCACCAAAATGTGCTATGTTTTTTTCAATCCTGCACAGTATATAGTCCAATTAGCACGCACAATTTTCATAAAGGTTTTATGTAAAGTCAAATTCAAAGAGACACAGCACTTATCATGGCCCTCTGAGCATTGTAGATCTATCAATGTTGGTGGCCCAGGGCATCGAAATTCACCAAGCGACACCCTGAAAACCAAATTCTCCGACTATTCAATCTTGCATGCCCAACTCCAAAATGGTCAAAATCTAACCCGAAAACCTAGCTCTAACGTCCATTTGCACCTGTAAATGATTTCAAGCAAACATATCCCTTCGCACAAATATTTCGCATCACATGGAACACGCCCGATGGCCATATTCTACATGTACAGCTGAAATGCAATAAAAACATGCCTTTTTCCACCAAAAAAGTTTGGAAAATCTGGAAAATATCAACCGAATAGCTCTATATGTGAATATTTTCACTCTCCCACAGCTGTCTCTCCTGGAATAAGTAGTCATTATGACTTAAGACACATGGCAGACACAGCACCTTTCATACATTTCACTTTTAGGTTTTCATGTATTTGAGTTACCTCCCCTTTTTAAACCTAACTTTCAAGCTCTGTGACAAATATTTTTATGAAATTTCACCATCATTTTGGTCAGTGTGTATGATAGAGCCTTTACACAAAGTTAAATGAGAAAAAACAAGGTTTGAAAAAAATCATTTTACCTTAAGGTAGCACTCCACAGTTAATTTCAAGTTCCTGCCGTCAATGTCCTACAAGCAATACTTCTAATAATTCTGATACCAAACTACACAACCTGGAAAAAGAAAACACATTTTGTTGAGAACATATATGACATAAGATTGCAAATCTACAAAGAAATTATCCCATCTGCAATAGGCAGGCAGTCAAAAAATTTGCAATTCATTCCGTTGAAGCCCAAAATCTACAGTGGCCCGAGACCCAAAACAACACATTTCGACCCTCTGGCAAAAAATATCTGCAAATATACAGGCTAAAGGAACACCGTCTCTGCTTTAGCAACTCCCTATACATGCAAAATATCACAAAGAAACTAGTCCTCAACCTTGTAGATTTTTTGCTACTGCTAAAAGTTTGTACCCCCCTGTAAAATGACTTCTTTTTACCGTGCATGCTGTATAAAAGCAATGTTTACAAAAAATGGCGGCCTTGACATTCATAATCAACAGCATGTGATTTCTGGCCATGTTTTCGAATTTGCCAGTGATCATATTAGATGTCACAAAAACAAATTTTATGCTGAAAATGCATTTTAAAGACAACCAGTCATTTAAATCCAGAATATTCACTATATCCAAGAAATCCTCCCTGGCCATTCGAAGCTGTGGCTTACATTACTGTGGTGTGCTACCAAAACATAATAAAATTACCGGAAGCGACGTCATAACGGAATTAAACGAATAATTCATATAAACAGAAAATACAAAATTTTTTTTATAAATTTTTTTTTTGTCCTTAATATATAACACTCAAGCAAATCTAAAAATGACACTTTATCTGTTAAAATTTTACTTGAAATTTTGGATAAATTATATAGTATTATTTAACTTGACATAAATTAGTTTTACATATAAACATCTTTAATGAAGAATCAGATTAAAACAATCTTCTAAAATTATCATCTCATATATAGGCACGTTGTATATCACTAAAAGGTGATAATTGCTTTCCTTAATTCTATGTTGATTTATTTCTGTAAATCTTCCTAAATTCCTCTTATAAAATAATATGGCTCTATACTCGATTTTTAATACATATATTATGTTTCTGTCCACTAAACAAAAATCCTTGTGACACATAACTTCTTTACATAGAAATAACGAAATTTTATGATTAAATCTCCATCAATATTTATCAAAACCTGGCAAAATATTTGAACATATAGTATATATGTATGTCACATTGATTGATATAGTCTATATTGTGTAAATATTCTTTAAACTTGTTCACTTTCAAAAATTTGATCGAAGTTTGACAGCATCTACTCTATTTTTCAATCACATAAATAACAGAATTGTATTTTATGGAACATTCACTTAATGCGTTATGACATATTTGCTATTTATTCTTGGCATACGATGAAAGAGTTTGCTTTTTCTAAACATTTCCCTTGAGCCATGTAAAAAATGACGTATTGTCAGACCGTACACAGAAAACAAATCGTGTTACAAAAACGTTCAGTCTAACGTCATGTATTTGATGGATCTATATAGCTTAAATTGTATTTTCTTTTATATTTTCTTATTGCTCTGTGTAATGAAAACAATAAGAAAGTAAATCAAGATATTTGCATTTCATCAATTCACGTAATTAATCCAATAGTAGGAATTAGATTTGTCAATTCAGCTATAAGAATGATACAAACTATCAAAGGATACAAGTTACTTAAACATGTCCAATTATATTATTTATAACTGAAATTTAACACGAATAAACAAATTTAAACATTTCTTATATTACTCGTAATAGGAAAATGTTACATTTAATGTATAACTTGCTGTCACAAATATTTGAGTTATTGTATTTTCTGTTTAAATGAAGCCACCTCATCAAATGTATGTGAAAACCTATTTGATATCAACTGTTTGGCATCAAAATTGTTAAATGTTTGTAATATTGAAATGTAAATTTGACGGTCGTCATTGATGACAACATTTCCTATGAATATTTTATACCAATTTCAATAAAACTCATTTAAGCATTTGCGAGAACAATATTGAATTTAGTATTGTGTGTTGGCGGAAAGTTTGTGCTCAATATTCAATTGGAAAATGAGCTTTAAACAATGAATCTAACATATAAATGAGAAATAGTGCTATGTCATGAGAAACTATAAGTATGAATTACTCCCATGAGTTAGAAGAACCGAAATGTTCTTAACAGGCATCAAATATATTTCAAAAGAAGCATATGTGATATAGGAATGTGGTTTCTAAAATTGAAAAAAAAGTTATATACAATAATAACTAATTGAAGTTGACTTGTAACTACGATCATTAACTTTGTTTCACTACTTATATCCAATTCAATTAATATTATATATACTGTTCAAATCATATATTATCCATACTTACAACATATAATTAAACATGTGAACATGCATTTGTTCTTCAATACATGCACATTGCTCTATACTGAACGATCTCTCTTAACTTAAACATAGTATTTAAAACTAATTGAACTCGACGTTATTCATTAATTTTCTTTTAAATGTTGGAAATGAACAATTTAGAAATTGGTTGTAATGCCATTGTGCACTGTTAATAAACGACTTATTCCGGTAATTAAAATTCTAGAACCGGGAGCCTCCTAACAACGTGCACATTAAAACATAATCGTAAAAAAATGTTTTGAAAGATTTCAATGGCAAGGATGAACACAATCCGAATTGCAGTTTTGCAGACAATGTTGTACTCTCTTGGTGTATTTCCCACGAGTTAACCTTATTCGCTAACTCAATATTATTTCATCACTTAAAATCAGTTAGAATGAAGGTAACATTTGTAATGATATTTTTTATAATTTATTATATTTGTCATTCATTGTAACACTTATGTTATAGATTTTGACCTATAATCTTTACAGATCGTTTCCATGCATTTGTTATGCAAAGATGTCCTATGCATATATATTTTACTATCGGCGTATTTCATGCTAATGATAAACCTGACAAAAATTCGCCTTTTTGTAACGATCATCTATTTTCCATGGAATAATGGTAAATTATGAATTACATTGAATCCCATTAAATATTTCACAACTATTCATACATTACATTAATTGACATTTGACCGCATTCACTCTATTAATAAATGGTATAAATTGCTAAATGGGCAATTACTGACCATTTTCATAATGCATTATAACATATTATATACCACTATTTCTTGGCATACGATGAAAGATTCTGCTTTTCCACACGGTTCCCAAGAGAATAAAGAATGACATATTGCCGGGATATACAGGAAACAAATAAAGTAACAAATACATTATGTCAAATGTCAAATATTTTAATGGATCTATGTAGTGTAGCTATATATGTCTATTGTTTCTTTATGTTGTAATGAAATCGTAATAGAATATATCAAGATACCGCCAGATTGCCAACATACGTATTAATTTGTACTTGTACGAATATGTCTTATAATTTTAACGCATTATATGAATATTGCAAAAAAGCATTGAATGCATGGTTTCATATCATTTTGTTTATAACTGACAGGTAACGAGAAAAAGAACAAATTTCATATTCTCAATTTCACACCGATCGCGTTGAGCTTAATACAATGGCCCAATTGCCTTAGTATGCAATTCTTTTTAATTTCTGTTGTCAGGTGCATCGAATAAATAAACTTATTTGAATAATGTTTTTAGAAGTAATCTCATATTCTAATATAAAACTTTGACGGTTGTCAATTGAGAATTTCACTCAAAATAACTATACATTAAGACCTTTAAATGCCTATGATAAATTGCACAGAATATAGAATTAGAATTTTAATTCTTTGTTTAATTTCTTTTATTTTTTTCTCCAATATTTGGATAAATTCGTAAAATCAGCATTCATTTTGTACATTGGCTTACAGAACAAATAAATCTTACATCAAACGAGAAAACGTGCGATATCACGAGAAAGTATTGTAAATTTCTCCTAGGAGTTTAAAGAACCGTAAGATTCTTATCATCACCCGAAATATATTAGAAACGAAACCTTTGTGATATATGGTTGGTGGTAATTAAGTGGAATACGGGTATAACGTCTTCAGAAAAGTATATAGGACAGTGACGAGTCTTTTATTAAACCATGTAAACACTCTTTTGGAATGACTAAAAGTAACTGGCTTAATATCTATAATCAAACATATATTGTTTATGAATACCTATATGTTTCAGAGTTCCGAAATTGAAGCGTGGTGATTTATAAAAATGTTAAGATTATGAGGAATCAACTATGTAAATTAATATTAAATTACTTAAAACATTCATTTTCACCGTCGTCTGAACATTATACTGACACACATAATAGAAAGATTGTAAAAACGTAAATGGTTTGTATTTTAGTTTATTTGAAGAGTTAGATTGTTCACTATATGTTATTCTAGGTTATGAATTCTTCCGGATAGCAGCGTATGAATCCTGAGAGATAGAGCGTTTTCAATTTATTTATTATGTGAATGAAAGTCAATGAAAGGTGTTACATCACTACCGCAATGTTCGACTAGAATACATCTACAGAATTAAGAGGAATGGAATAGTATATACTTGTAAGAAAATGGGTTAAAAGGAATTCTACTGATGTCAAAAAGCGTTGCAAAGCATTTCATCATTTTGTTGTCATTTTTATGATCAGAATAATGTTTCTGGAAATTTGGGTGAGCAAATGATAAGTGTGTCAACAATGAAACATGCAATGTCACTTCGTCTGATTGTCTTTACCTTGATCAAAATTTTATCTACAAAATTCTAAAAGGGTATCAGAATAGTAAAATGCAATAAACTGGGTTTAAACGTGGTTGAGTTTTACAGAGAAAAGCATTATTTTTCAATACAACAGTTTCACAAGATGGGACTGTGTTAAACATTGTTACTGAAGTCAAAACATTATGTTCCTTCTCTCGTTAAAACTGTATCACATCAAACGAATGTCTAGACAAGCAACATATAAGTAATTTGATGCACTTTGTCATGAATAAACATCTGCAGAAGCACGGGGACGCATAAGCCTGTGCCCACAAATAAAGGATTTAAAACAGCAGTATTCATTAATGTATTGTATCATTTTGTATGAATATGTACTATATACAATTCAAAATTATAAATACAATACTCTGTTCTGTTCTTGAGTTAGGTTTCCGACAATAACCATTCAAACAGGCAATTGACCTTAGACTTAAATTGCATTTCAAACTCTCCATTAAAAACATGACCACAGCAGACATACGTCATTTACTTCTAATATATTTATGAAATATGGAAATAGTAGAATGTATCCTCTTTCCCAAAGTTTCTTGGACGTCTTTGAATGATGAATGATTTTATACAAATCAAATAATATGGTGAGACAGTGAGATAGTCTTCAAAGAAACGTTACACATGGGACTAACACAACCTATTAAATGTGTTCCTATAGAAGTGATATCACACCGTGAACATTTTCTGTCTGGCAAGTACTTGATCCATTGACACATATCAATTATCAAGTAACAAATAACAATGAAAATAGCCGTATCTCTTGCCACCCTAATGTTCAGGCAAATCAGATACAAGACTAGGTCAGGATTGAAATGGTAATTTAAGTCAAGGTAATGCTAAAGAATATTTGTTTGGCGCAAGATTATTTAATAAAGAAAGAAACT